TCAGTTCTGCGGTTCTCCCCTCACTGCTTAACAGAGTTCTTTGAGCAAATTTAGGGAATCAGAACCTACTTATTTTTGAAGGAAAAGGCCATTCTACGGCAAAATCAGGAACTAAAAGACGCGCATTAGAACTGAGAGGTGCCTCTGAAATCTCTTGGTTCAATCCCTTTGTTTTAAAGACAGGGAAGTAAAGACCCAGAAAACGCTGAGTTTAATGACATGTTTCTTGTATTTATCCCAAGTCAGCACGCCCATAAACAATGCCTTCTTTATTTTTATTTGATTAATTCATGGGGTTAGTATGTGAGTTCGATTCCTTTTAAAATGCATGAAGTAAATGTTGGAGAGGATGTGGAGAAAGGGGAACCCTCTTGCGCTGTTGGTGGGAATGTGACCTGGTGCAGCCACTCTGGAAAACTGTGTGGAGGTTCCTCAAAGAGTTCAAAATAGACCTGCCCTACGACCCAGCAATTGGACTGCTGGGGATTTACCCCAAAGATACAGCTGCAGTGAAACGCCAGGACACCTGCACCCCGATGTTTCTAGCAGCCATGTCCACAATAGCCAAACTGTGGAAGGAGCCTCGGTGCCCATCGACAGATGATGGATAAAGAAGCTGTGGTCTATGTATACAATGGAATATTCCTCAGCCATAAGAAACAACAAATACCCACCTTTTGCTTCTACGTGGAGGGACCTGGAGGGTATGATGCTGAGTGAAATGAGTCAACCGGAGAAGGACAAACATTATATGGTCTCATTCATTTGGGGAATATAAAAAATAGTGAAAGGGAATAAAGGGGAAAGGAGAAAAAATGAGTGGGAAATATCAGAAAGGGAGACAGACCATGAGAGACTCCTAACTCTGGGAAACGAACTAGGGGTGGTGGAAGGGGAGGTGGGCAGGGGGTGGGGGTGAATGGGTGATGTGCCCTGAGGGAAGCACTTGACGGGATGAGCACTGGGTGTTATTCTATATGTTGGCAAATTGAACACCAATAAAAAAATAAATAAAAAAAATAAAATGCATGAAATATAAAAAGTTGGGAGAAAAAAATAAATCATCCCAAATCTCTCTACCGAGGGACAGTGACTGTTGACAGGCAGCATGACTGTCACTAAGGAACAGGCTTTGGACCCAGACAGAACCTCATCATTTAACCTTTCTGGGCTTCCGTGTCTTTATGGCTACACAGGAGATGACAACAGTCACCTCTCAATGAAGATGAGAGTGTCTTGCATGGGTAAAGCACTGATGCCAGCAAGCGAGACAATCGTATTCAATTCCTATCAGCAACTACTGCCAGTACAGTTGAGAGAACGCTCCATACATTTTTGTACCATGTTTTTCCTCATTTACTCTATCACTTGCATTTTCCCAGGTCACCAAAGAACCTTTATGAATATAGATCTTTCACGTCATGACCCCCTTTGTGGAGAAAAAAAAAAAATGGAGTTATTTTCCATTCCAAAGCCAAGGTTGCATATACCTTCTCCTCGAAAGAAGAAATGCTGAATCAGCAGCTGCCAACAAAGGGGAAAGGAAACAAGGGTTAATTAAGAGGAACTATTTTGGAACAAACAGCTGGATTCACAAGGGTGTGCATGAGAATGCTTTGATGCGTGCATTTAGAGAGTGAAGGATATGGAATGATTGATGGCTCTATTGGCAGATCAAAGTGTCTCAAGGGCATCACAGGCTGCGGAGTTAAACCGTTTGCACTTTTCCTGCATTTAGTGTGTGTATTTTGTGAGCATAATAATAATTTGTACGCACACAGAAGCTTTCATCTGGGGAGGAGCTCAAAGCACTTTGAAGATGTTAATAAGAAAAAGACCTGCTAATTAAGATTGCTTAAAAATAAAAACTCTCCCTTCAGCATGTTTACGTGGTTGCCGGGAGGATTCTGACTTGAAGAGATTTGTTATCACAAGTGAGTTAGTCCACGTTGTCTTTTTAAAACACATTGTTGGATTTAGTGTACTGATAAAAGGTCTTTTTCTGGACAGTCACGCCACACGTAACGAGAATAATTCAACAGACTATGACGTGCCTGGTTTGGAGAACATACTTTGACCCAGAAAATTTTGAGGTAGGGCAAAAAAGCAGTACCGTGTGGCTTATTTGGAGTGAGTTTCCAGTTTCAGACTAAACCCAGCAAAATAAGCTTAGAAGGAGGACAAACACTCCCAGACTTTTCTGAAAATTATATTTGCTGAAGGAAATTCAGACAGCAAAAATCGTATGTCAGTGCATGGTGAAAAGGATGACTTTGTTAAGAATTCTACAAGCTTCCGCCTCAACTTCCCTGCATCGAATACACTGAAGCAAATCTCCACACAGATGAAGTCCACTCATGAAACCTCTCCTAATCCAGCTATTAGAACTGGATGCCTCCCTTCCCTGCTCCCTGGGCAGGGAATGTTATTGGTTTAAAATATTATTTGCATAATGACTTAGTATTTGAGTCTTTTTTTTTCATACGTCAGGTATTTATAGTTTTCCCCACTAGAGAGTAAACTCCAAGTAGGCAACAATATATTTTATTTGTCTTGCTATCTGATAGAGGGCTTAGCACAATGTATGATCCTTAACACAACATACCCATTCATAACGATTTCTTTTAATTAAGAATTTATTAGAGCAGTTTTGTAATAGAAAAAGAAATTGGGGGAAAAAAAAGAAATTGAGGGGCAGCCCAGGTGGCTCAGTGGTTTAGCACCGCCTTCAGCCCAGGGCCTGATCCTGGAGTCCTGGGATCGAGTCCCACGTCAGGCTCCCTGTGAGCCTGCTTCTCCCTCTGCCTGTGTCTCTGCCTCTCTCTCTCTCTGTGTCTCTCATGAATAAATAAATGAAATCTTAAAAAAAAAAAAAGAAAGAAAGAAATTGGAACCAGCATAAATGTCCATCAATAGCCCAAGGATGAAATAAAATCATGGGACATCTGTACAATGGGACACTGTGTCGCTATTGAAAAGAATGAGATAGATGGAAAAACTCAGTGATCTGTGGAGTGAACAACTCAAGAAGAAGAATATATACGTTAGCGCCTCCTTTTTTGCAAAAATAAGATGGAATCAGATGGGCGGTTGAGAGATGCGTGGGATGGATAGATGGAGAGATAGATAAACTGATCAATCTTTTTTTTAATTATTATTCGTAGAAACTGGAGGCCCTGAGAACTATGAGCAAATCACCAACAGTGAATACTCCTGGCAAGTGGGACTGGGGGCAGTGGGCCGGCTATGAGAGGGAAGTCCCTCACTTGTTACTCGGACCTCTGTATTGTCTGAAGTTTTCACGATGAACAAGTATCAGGAAAATGGAAATTATCTATCGACCTGAAGTGTGGATTTGTCGGACTTGCCTTCGGCGGGGCGGATGACCTAATATCCCATATTTCTGTACTTGCAGCCGGTCTCCCGGACAGAGCCTCTGGCACTGAGCGGGCTGCAGGGGACAAAGCCTTCCTTTTTCCAGAGTAAGCATTTACCCGGATTCAAGCTGACTCCCTTGGGCATCTTGCTGGGGCACCTTTCCAGGGCCCAGCTTTCTAAATTCAGCAGACTAATGGGCTGGGACAGATTCCCTGGCTGACTTTGGGAGTTGTCAGAATCTCTCTGGTAACTTTCCTAGGCTTTTGGTTCTCTAACGAGAGGCCAGGGGACCTTTTTCAGTTGTAAATCAGCTTCCATCAAAATTCAAGCAGGAGGCCAGGCTGGCCCTGAAATCCCTCCTGCTCAGTCCCCCAGCCACTGAGCTCCCCTGAAACTCCTGCCTCGCGAGATGATCAGAAATAGCCACTGGGCTCATTTCCTAAGTGGCCATCCTCTTGTTTTGACCCAGCAAGAGGGGTGTGATCTGTTTTCCATATACAGTTTGTGTGGGTTGGCTTGCTGCCAAGCGTGAGTCTCTCAACATAGAGAAAACTGAACTCTCTCTAAAGCGAGAGGACAAGAGGGAATTTATGGGAATATTACAGATCAATCCACTTTGCTGTGATCTGGCCTGGCCCATTTTTTTAGTGGGGGCTGGTGGAGGGTTAGTCTCTGGTTACATAAACTGGCCAACCATCCGGAAGAGGAAATAATACCCTCTGGTGGTAAGATTACATCCTGCACATGTACCCTAAATTTCAGCTCTAGGCCAAGCTGCCTTCCCTACACGTGTACCACAGGACGCGGGAACATTTTTAAGTCACAGAAATCTAGACTTTCTTTTTTTTTTTTTAAGTTTTATTATTATTATTTTTTTGCTAATCTCTACACCCTACGTGAGGTTCGAACTCACAACCCTGAGATCAAGAGTCGCATGAGCTACAGACCGAGCCAGCCAGGCGCCCCCAGAAATCTATACTTAAATAAGTCAACTCCACCTTTATCCTGAGTGTTAGTGTAGAGATACAAAGGGTAGAATTCCCATTTCCCAATTTTGCTCTTATTGTTCCGAGTTGCTGCGTTAAACATGACGCAGATCAAAATGATGACGTTTGCATTTCATTCTACTATGGAAGAAAATTCCCAGCATTCTGCAAACCACAGAGCTGACGTTGATTTTTGAATATACACCATTGTTTACGGTGCAGTTATTGTTATGCTCATTGGAGGTCCCTTTTGGCTTTCCCAACGTGTCTATTGTGCGGTAAGGAGCTTTGTGGCTCCGCATATATTACTACTCTCTGCTCCGTGTGACAACATTCAGAGGTGCTCATAATCACAGGTTCCGGGTTTTCTTGTTAATGTATCCACTCGAATTGTCACAGTTGGGTTGATTGCAAGGGAACATTATCACACCAGCTGCTCTGGCTCTGCAATTAGCAGGCCTGGTATGGAATGTTCTGTGTAAGCTGGAGTTCCCGTGGACTCTGGACATTTGCCTTCCTGAGTCTCTCTGCCTTTGACTTTCCCTTTGGGAATCATGCCATAAAGGTCACAGTTTCCTGTTCCAAATATTCCTTTTAGTTTCTGTTTTGTGAGAACTTTGTGTAAAGCTTTTTCCCTTGACCATTTGTCCTCCCAGGCCTCAGACTGCTTCTGAAGTGGAGAGCATTGAATAAACCCAGGATTCCTTCCTGGGAACTGGGTACTTGTCTTCGAGGAGTAGAGCGTCTTTGCAGAAGCCCGTGGCACTAGAATTTGAGGTGAGAGAAGAGAAAGGGGGCTCAGCCCACTGTTCAAAACTTTGCTTCTTGTCAAAATGCTCCTTGGCCAGCTGGTAGGTGACTGTGCTGGTTTGTCTGGGATTGAGGGGTTGTCCAGGAGGTGGGACTTCCAGTGGTAGAACTGGACCAGTCGGTCATACCAGTGTGGGTTTAGGACTGTATGGATCCTTTCTTTGCTCCTGTCACTCTCTCTAGGTACTTGTTCTTCCTTTGACAGCACATTGGGGTGTCTTATGCACCCTAATAAAACCCATGATGTCTGAAAATGACTACATGTTGAGGATTTAGGATATTTCAAATATCTTAACCTTGGAAAACCTTTCATTGGAGTTTTAAAATTACATAAATATCACATGGACATGAACTTGAGACGGGCATGCTTACACCTGTCTAAATAACAACTTATCATCACTTCTAGGCACAGAGTGAAGGTTGACTGCTAGGTGCCAAGCCTGATGCTGGCAATGGGGAGCTGAATGGATAAACAGGTAAATGCCACAGAATTACCAGCGCTAGGCGAGTGGTGTGGGAGGCTGAAGAACAAAGTGATCACTGTGGGCTGGGATACTGGGAGAGGCTTAAAACAGGAATTGGGATGTGGAGAGAGCTACAGAAGCATCCAGAAGAAAAGGTAGACTCTAGATGAGGGGAAGGCTTTTCTAGGCGGCGGAAACGGCTGCCTAGAGATTCAGAAATGCCTGCGTGGGGCCTGCATAGGCGAGTCGCCCTGAAGCTGGGTTTTCAAACGGGTGATGGGTTTGAAGACGGTGTGTGGGACAATTCTTGTATTTCTGTACCACTGCGTTGGCAATTACTCTAGACCCAGTGAGCCCGTCTTTACCAAACAGAGGGAGCCCTTTCTCCTCCTGTCCCTCTGCCAGCTTTTGTAGGTTAGGCCCGGCATCTCTAAAGAATGACCCAACTGTCTCAGTAAATATTTGGGGTGCAAAGAACTAGAGCATTGTCAAAATTCTGTGTGTCTACTCCACCCTTCCTCCTATTGAGTCCAGGACAGAGTAGGGGGGCTTGCGGACCATGGCCAAGGAAGCTATCCTTCACCTCCTTGTAAACAAGCTTTGGCTTGGAGACTTGGAGCATCGGCCCCTGTGCCCCAGTTGTCAGCAAAAGCAGTGAACGTTTGTATGTGCAATGGCTACTGGCCCCCCTTACTCTGCCCTGCTCTTTAGTGGGTTTTCAATGAACTTATCATCGATTGGACATAGCAAACTACCATGGCACCATTTTACCGAAATGACCTTTTCCTTACACAAATCCCATTGTGGTTTTTTTGTTTTGTTTTGTTTTGTTTTGTTTATGTTTTTTTGCTTATTTGTTTGTTTTGTTGGAAGGAAACTCTTTCAATCTGGGCAAAGACAACGGGAAGATGAGTTTGTGAACCAGATAACAACCATCATCATAAATGGGACCACGGAAGACAGAGGCAAAACCAGAAACGTGCCTTCAGTGAGATGTGGGAGAAGGGGCGGGCGGAAGGTTCTCGTGCCTCTTCCACAAGCTTTCCATCTAAAACTTCCTTCTCGTGGAAAGATGAGCTTTAGCTTGTAAATTCTCCTGGGAAGTTGATACCCGTCTTTACTCTCACACTAACGAATCCACATCAGTATTTTCCCTTTTGTGAGGCATGAGGAGAGCCTTGAGTGCCTCAAGAGTAAGTGTCTGCAGATATGAGAAAATGCTGCCAAAATAGAAAGCTTAGCATCTTAAAATCAAATTTATTGCACCAAAAATTTTTTGGAAATTTGTTATAGATTTTATCTGAGATGGCTTGAATCACAACAGCAATCGGTAGAACTGTCTTTTATTTTCCTTCTTTTGGATTTGTAGTTTCTCAATACCGTATGGTCTTGACCATCCACCACCTTCCTTTCGTTGTTTGGTGTCCTTCCTTTGCTCTCAGACTCTTTTGAAAACTATTTTAAGCTGCCCCATTTCTGCTCCTGAATGTCTCCCCCCTTGATTCCCGCTGGTCGTGTTTATTTATTAGCTCACAATGATTGCTTCCTTTCTCAGGTCTGGAGGGGCATGACTGTGCTCAGGTATGACTCTGCCCCTTAAAAAACATGAAAACAAGGCGTGAATATCATTGAGTTGATGACTGTATCTATTAAAAATATCGTGAATCACTGTTCCGCTATCATTTATTTGAAAACATAGGTTGGCAACTAATATGTCTATGCTGTAAAAAATGGGAGGGAAATTCCATTAGACAGTATTAATCAGGCACATTTTTTTTTTTAAAAAAAAAACCCTACCTTTATATTTCTTTTTGTGCCTCTTGGTCCTAATCATAGCTACACCCGAGACTCCTTCTTTCCCCATTCTTCTAGTCTCTGGTATCTCCTTACCCACATCTCTTTGTAAATCGTTATTATTATTATTTCTTTAGTTTGCAACTGGTTCTTCCCTTGGTGGTGTCAGTTAGATCACTCTCCTTTGAATTAAGTGCTAAGGTATGGTGTTTGCAATTAGGTTAAATGTTTCCTTGGAGTGGGTCCAGTTCTTTTTATCTTTTTTGATAAGCAGTGGCTTTCAAGGTCCTGGCTGGAAGATTGTTATTTTGAATTAGGAATCCTTATCTCTACATAATTTGAACAATCCCAGACTACAGGGGCATTGCCCAGGTCCACCAGACGGCTCTCCGTTAGCGCCGTTCAGTGTGAAAGTCTAGAGAAGAACTAAGGCTGCCAGGGTGGACCGGCCGGCTCGCCCGAGAACAGCCAAAGAAGCTACTCGGAGAATATTCTATCAATTTATGCCAACTTAAATACCACTGCCAAGTCATACTGTTCTCTAAAAATTCAGTTAGTCCCGGTTTATGGCTCAAAGCACTTTGCATGTATCAGCCCATTAGGCCTCTGCATTCCTCTGAGTCAGAGAGCTGACAAGTGGAAATAACCCAGTTTCCGAATGTGGACTCAGAGGCACAGACGCTGCAATAACCGCACCAGGATCACTAATTCAGGCCCCTGAACAGTGTACACACGGGACTGAGAGGGTGTCACCGTGTTCCCTAGGACTGAGCCTGGTAACCTCTGCTGGTCTTCCTGTAAGTGGCGGATCTACAACCTCTGGACGCCTTGTCCCTGACCCTTGGGGGGGCATAAGCTGACCTCAGGGAACATCAGTCACATAGGAGAGTTTTGTTTCCTGGGCCATCTTCTCTCTGAGTCAGTTTTCTTTCAGCCATGGCCAAGTGTCTGGACACTAGGACTAGAAATGCTGGAATTCAAACCTTGGCCCTACCAGTATGACCCTAGGCAACTTCCCTAACCTCTCCGTGACTCAGTGTCCTCATCTGTAAAACGATGATTAGTCATAGTGTGTCCCTCAGACAGGGTGATGTGGAGACTGAACACGTTAATTCACGCAAAGCGCTTAGAACAAGAACCTGACACATAAGGATGCCATAACCGTGAGTTGCTTCTCTTGTTCTTCCTCTCCTTTGGGAAGCCTTTTCAAGCTTGGGCCTCCTTCCCAAGGGGAAGTTCTCGTAGTTCCTCTTCCTATCAAAATAGCAAAGGACCCAGTAGCAGCTATTAACATTTTAGTGAGAAAGAGATTCATGTTACCTCTGCCAGCTGGTCTGCTTCTCAAGCATCGTCTCCAATTGTGGAATGAAAAACTTGATTCCCTGCTTAAGGAAGTTGGGGCACCATACGTGTTTTGAGGGCGTAGGGGGAGGTGGGAGATGAGAACAAGAAAACTCTCAATTGGCCTTAAAAATATCTGAAGGAACCTCCGAAGTATTTACAAGGATCATCTTTTGCTTAAGAACAAGCTCACCTACTTGACCACAGCCCCTTCCTTCTTTTTTAGTTATTTTATTTTATTATTATTTTTTTTAGCCCCTTCCTTCTTTGAAAAGCCCTCTCCATCCATCCCTATCCTGTTCCTTCCCATCTCAACGTGAACAATTATTCCTTTACTCACCCTTAGGAATTTTTTTTTTTAAGATTTTATTTATTCATGAGAGATACACAGAGAGAGGCAGAGACACAGGCAGAGGGAGAAGCAGGCTCCATGCAGGGAGCCCGATGTGGGACTCGATCCCAGGACTCCGGGATCAGGCCCTGAGCCTAAGGCAGGCGCTCAATTGCTGAGCCCCCCCAGGCATCCCTCACCCTTAGGATTTTATCCTTCTTTCCTCTCCCTCTAGAGCAAGCCCTTTCACTGCCAGGAATGTGGGGCCTGTTTTCATGTGTCTTCTGCTCCATCAGCCAATTCTGGCCTTGGTTCTCTTTGCCCCAACCCTGCTTTGCCTTGATGACACTGCTGTGTAGACCAAAAGTGAGAAGATTTAAACCATGAAAGTATAATTTGCATGCGCCACTTATGCCTGGTTGTCTATCAGCATAATAATATAGAATTTATACTATTAAATACATAAAACGTTGCCTTTATTAGTCTGTATTCGGAAATAACGAAAGTGTTCTCATATGCTTGGCGTTCTTAATTAGTCGCTGTCTGTAGCCTTATCATTTGATCACAGCCTTGTCCACGGTGTTTTTCCTGCCAGGCATGTGTAATTAAATACATGAAACTCAACTCCTAACCCTTTGCGACGTGGGGGAGACAAAGGTAAGGAACGGAGAGGGGAAAGGACTCGCAGGGGAGGGTAGATGGGAGACAAAGAACTCCCAGAGGCCAGAGATTACTTTCCCCTTGGGCCTTTCCCTCAACGTCACCACCAAGGCCATAAAAATTAATGATTCTCAGATTTAAGCTTGAGTTATCTTTGAATGACAATCGATCTTTCAAAGCCCCCCTTTTAAACAGAAATAGAAATTACAGTTGGTGTAGTTGTTTTAAATGACCTAAATAAAAAAAAAAAAATAAATGACCTAAATAACTTAACAAAAACCCTGGCCAGTTCTTCTAACTGCCCTGGGCAAATCGGAGACAGTGGTCAATGTTTTCTAACTTGCCCATTATCTTTTTGTGCCCTTTGTTTAAAACTTTATTATTTGTATTAGTATATGAAATTCACAGGCACTTAAATTTTTATTCACCATCTCACCGAAGTCCTACTCTACGTGTTTTAGTGGCCTCTGTGTGTATTCACACACTGTAACCCCAAATAACAGATTTTTAGTTCCTCTAAGCTGATCTCCCGTTAAATGTTTTCCCTGGCATTGTCAACCATAAACTCTTTATTTATTTTTTTTATTTTTATTTATTTATTTTTATTTATTTATGACAGTCACACAGATAGAGAGAGAGAGGCAGAGACACAGGCAGAGGGAGAAGCAGGCTCCATGCACCGGGAGCCTGATGTGGGATTCGATCCCGGGTCTCCAGGATCGCGCCCTGGGCCAAAGGCAGGCGCCAAACCGCTGTGCCACCCAGGGATCCCCAACCATAAACTCTTTAAATAAAAATCAAGATCACACCTGTTGGCACAGGCACCAAATGTTGAAAGGAATGTCTTTAGTCGGCCCAACTTTAAAAGTTGCCTCTGGTTATGCTAACACGAGTGGGCCGTATACCTGACCTCACTGTAATCGGTTTAGGATATATATATTGTGTGTGTGTGTGTGTGTGTGTGTGTGTGTGTCTGTGTGTGTGTGTGTTTAAGATTCTATTTTTTAAGATATCTCTACACCCAATGTGGGCCTCAAGACCACAACCCCAAGATCGAGAGTCACATGCTCCACCAACTGAGCCACCCAGGTGCCCCTAGGATATATAGCTTTTAACTTTGATCCAATATGGTTTCCAAACTATGTTCCCTAAATACTTGAGATCCACAGCAGACTTTTAAAAAGATTTTATGTATTTATTTAGAGAGAGAGAGAGTGAGGGGCGGGGAGGCAGAGGGAGAAGGAGAAGCAGACTCCCCACTGAGCAGGGAGCCCAATGCAGCTCAATGCCAGGACCCTTGGGGCTCATGACCTGAGCCAAAGGTAGACACCTAACTGACTGAGCCACCCAGTCGCCCTTCAACAGGGATTTTTGAGTGTCTTAGAAAAAAAGAGCATACACGGAATATGCTTTTGATTCATGTCCGGGTTCATTCTCTCTGGTCACCATTCCATAACCAACTACTGTTCTACGGGCAATTACGTAGGAATCTTGCCTGTGTTTGGACACATAAGATATGATTCACATTCACAAACCAGGTCATGCTTTGATGTACGTGAATATTTGCCAAGTCCTTATTATGTGCCAGCATTGACTCGGATTATTTACACTAGTCTTCCTAACCCACTCTGAGATGCAGGTGTGCTTATTAACCTGATGAAGTAGTAGACCTAGGAGATGAGGAAATCCACTCAAAGTCTCAGAGCAAAAGAAATCAAGAGAAGATTGAAGCCCTAGTATTTGGCTCCCCAAGTCCATGCCCTTAAACACCCAGGTCCACTAGCTCTCTAACAGCAGCAACTGCTGCAGAACAGTCTTCCAGGAATCAAGTTTTCCCTCCGTACAGTATGTTTGGCCCCCACTTCTGACACACCCACCTTGATGAATGCGTCGTCTGATGACCGTGCTTGGGCTATCACTTCCTCCCAAAGGTCAGCAAAGCTCGGGGAGGCCAGCTGCAGACCCCTGCATCCCCCCAGCTCCTTCAGTTCCTGGACGTGCTGTCTACAACTGGCTGCTTCTACGTATGCAAGGGCCTTCAGTAGGGGGCCATTCCTTCAGTTTTTGGAAGGGGTCAATGGATCCTGAGCTCTTATTATTCCATCTTGTTAGTCTCAGCTGAGTTGCCCTGGGGTGGGGGAGATGGATTTTGCTGTGGGTGCCCCGTGGTGCTGACTGACCACATCCCTCAACCCCAAATATGGTTCACCACTGCCACTCTGAAGTCTGCAAGCAAGACCACACTGACTCCATTCCTCAAGCTCCTCTGCCCCTCACTTCCCCACAGTCTATCTGTCATGAGGACTGCTCAGTCGTCCCAGAAACCCACACCCCAGTCTCCTTCAGGTAGATGGAGCCCTTGCCTCTCAGGATTGCTCCTCCATGGACACAAATGAGATAGACAGGCTCTGCCCTTCTCAGACAGTCCTGACACCCTTACTTGTTCTTGGGCCTCACAAGGTATCCTATCTCTCCAATAGCAGCTTGGTCTACTGGGGGGACAGAGCAGACTTTGGGGGCGATGGATTAGGAGAAACTACGGG